TTTTAGGATGTAAAGTAATGAGCTAGGCAGAATGTGAAGGCTTCGTACTTACGGTTCCTTTGTGTTCGCGTGACTTAACTACTTCGTTTATCGATTTTTTTGTATTAAACGCGAAGTGATTTACAGCAAAAGGGGTAAACCACACTATGTAAGGAAGGTATGTAGGGAAACATTCAAATGAGAATCAATTTATCAATCCTGCTTTTGAAAACGATAGGATTTTAGACACTGGGGAACATGGAGATAAAAAGTGTTCCAAAATCTCACAGTTCTGGGGAAAAAGAATAGAAGATAGAAGTCCGACATCTGTGGACAGAAACTTGATAAAGACAACTACCCGCCTGAGAACGAGATGGACGAGAAAAGGTCAGTGGGAGGGAAACCACTGAAGCAAGTTCGGAAGAGCAGAAGTCCAAATAGTAACGATGGAAAGGAGATGAAGGAACTGCTCTGGGATGAGAAAGTGACTACGGTGGTTGTGGTGGCACCGTGGTTTAGTCGCTGTTACCGGCGTGCTTTGGACCCTGTTGTTCGGGGCACGACCCCCGCCACCGTAACCCAGCTTTGGTGTTGCCCGGTTCTATACCACTCCTAACCCATCGGGGCCTTATTTGGTTCGCTACTCCAAATCCCGGGGATTAAGTTGCCGGTTACCATCACAGAACAGCAGGCCCACTCCATTTGGTGTTGTTCACACACTGGTGTGTGATAAAAAAGTTTCGAAGTTCAAGACGGTTGGTCGATCAGCCGAGTGGCCTTATGTTGTACACGTTCGAGGACAGAAGTGGCAGAATGAGAAGCTCCACCCCATACGTGACTTCAGTATTCAAGCATCGAGCGGATTTGAGCTTTGTATAAAAGGATAAGTTGCTTGGGTGTAAAGCAACGCTTTGCGCGGAATAGAAAACTGATTGCGCGCAGCGAGAGAGGCGAGTGTAGAAATTAAAGGGAACCAATAGAGTGAAGAATTTATGGGAAAACCCAGGAGTGAGAGAGAATTTGTCTAACGAGTAAAAAATCACTTGAGGAGAAGGAACCCGTTTAAGGGAGATGGAGAGGAGAGAAGTTTTGGAAGCATTGAAACATGGTTGGTAGAGCCCCATGCGGAGATTAATCCGAGATCGGAGGCAGGAGAAGCATCAATGAGATTGCGATCGTGATCGATATTGGTAATGGCTGGATGGGTCGTGAGGTAAGAAAGATAATGGAGAGTGGCATCACCCGTAAAACAGTGAATAGGCTTCGAGGTTTTGGACAAAAGATCGTTGATAAAAAGAAGAAAGAGGATGGGAGAAAGTGTGGAACCTTGGGGAACACTGGCATTTGCAGGGAACGACCGATGTAGGACCCCCATCGACTCGGACGGAGATGATTCGCTTGCGGAGGAAATATTGGAGCCGCCATATGGGATACTAGTGGAATCCGAACGGGGGTAACTTCGACAGCAGACCTTCATGCCAAACGCGGTCGAAGGCCTTTGAAATGTCAAGCAAGACCATGTGAGTTTCTCCGTGGCTATAGAGTGCAGTCGACCAGGAATGTGATGTGAGCGCCCGTAGATCGACAAGGGCGAAACCCATACTGACGGTCGTTTAAAAAACCTTCGCGTTAGAGATAATGGTTTCAAACACTTTTGAAACTACAGATGTGAGAGCAATGGAACGGTAGTTGTTGGAGTCGGAGGGGTCATCGCGCTTTGGGATTGGAAAAGTAGTGGCAGTTTTCTATGGAGTAGGGAAAGATTTAAGATCGAGTGGAGAACTGAAAAGGCCGCGTAGAACGGGGGCTCACTCCGGGGCACATTTTTAGGATGATAGGCGGAATACCGTCCGGATCGGGTGGTTTACAGACATTCAAACCACGAAGAGTTTGGCGGACCTTTCTGTTTGTTATGATAGGTAAAAAGGAGTGGTTGGATGTGTAGAAGAAGGGTTGAACAGTACAACTGGTAGATAAGATAGAGTTGGAGGCAAACCGGGAAGCGAAGACCTCTGCTTTTTTGTAAGGGTCTCCAACAAAAGTACCAGAGGAATTGCAAGTGTGAGGAAAGTCGGAATAGCAGGAATCACGTAAAACCGTTTTAGCGAGGGACCAGAAGGTTCAGTTACCAGTGGCAGAAGAAACCAAGCGCGCAGCTTTATCGCAAATGAAGCATTCTCTAGCTATCTGTATGGTGAGCGAGCATTGGTCTCTGGCTTCACGAAGAGGTTGCGGGATGCTAGAGTCTGTGTGTGGCGCCAAGGACAGAATGCTAAGTTTTTAAAAAGTACAGCATGGTTGCAAGCATGATTAAACGACTCAGGAGATCGTAGTTTGCCGGGTTCGGAGATGTGTGGAATATAACGATGCCTACATTGAAGAGCGATCTCCGTGACGTTTGAAACACGTGGAAATATCAGATATAAAACAACAATCCTTTCAGGGATAACAAGCCAGAAAGTCACGAAAACCGTCCCAGTTGGTTGAATCGTAACGCTAAAAGGTGAGTCTGGAGTTTGGTGGTGAAACGGAGTGAGAGAAATGAGACAAGATCCGATGAGCCTAATGGGGAAAGGGAAGTGATGTTGGAGAAAGAAGAGGGACGGTGTAGGAAAGAGGTCGAAGGTGCGGGCGTGGTCAACCAGTTGACTTATATTGTTGACCACAGCAAAAGCCTCGGCTTCGCGTCCCATGAACCTAGTGTCTGAGGAGTGCTTCAGCCATTCCTTGTTTTGGACATTGAAATCTCCGACAATGGTAATTTGGCTGTTAGAATCTGCCGGCATTAATTTCTTAATGTTAAAAGACAAAATGAAAAATAGAAGAATCGCTGCTGCTTGGGGAGCGGTAAACAGTACAAAAATATCTTACAGTAGAAAAATGGCTACGTAATGATAGCCATTGGATTAATTTAAGGTCATTAATCGGAGGTAGAGATTAGAGGATCTGTATGTGTGCTTGTGTTTGTTTCATGTATATATACATATATATATATATATATATATATATATATATGTGTGTGTGTGTGTGTGTGTGTGTGTGTGTGTGTGTGTGCATGTGTAAGAATGTTTAGTGTGTTAGCTGATGTGACCTTTCCCCTTTTTTCATTTTCATTTTACTTCCTTTTATTGAACACACAGTGATACAATTTTCATGAAGGAGAAGCGGCCGATCAAAGGGCTTCCGTACAACACACAAATGGGGATATTCAGGCGGTGGTGTTGGGATTCGAACACGTTTCCCGAGGTGATAATTTGGTGACGTTACCACCGGGCTACCACCGCCTGAGGCAGTTCCCAGTTTGTAGCTAAAACAGAAGACTTGGATCTGCAAGAAAAGACGATGTTTTCGTTGGATGTCGTATCACTGTTCACAACATACCTCTACTTGAGACAGTGGAATTAATCTGTGACCAAATAGAAACGCTGAATGTAATCGTTAGTATTTCGGTCACAAATCTAAAGGAACTGTTATTACGCTGCACATGTAACGTCCAGTTTCTATTTAACGGTACTATCTATCGTCGGATGGACGGGGTTGCCATGGGATCCCCGCTCGGTCCGTTACTCGCTGACATCTTTGTGGCTAAACTAAAAAGGAGCATGCCTAGCCCAACGACTGTAGGATCAGCACAATACAGTAGATATATGGATGATATCTTCTGTGTGACCGATCGCAAAATTGGCATCCTACGGATATTGAAGTCGTTTACCGAAGCACATCTATCACTGGAATTCACCGTTGAGGTTAAAACGAACAACATACTGGCCTTTCTGAATGTGGCCGTGTCCAGAAAAGATGGATCAGGGAGAAGAAATATCTACAGAAAAAAAACATCAAATGGTCAGTATACCAACGTCTATAGTTTCGTTCCTGTGAAATATATTGTAATCTAGTACGCTGTCTAGCCTTCAGAGCCCGGAAGATTTGTTCAGCAGACACACTGGATGAAGAACTACGCTTCATTCGCCAAACCCCGCATGACAATGGTTATCCGGAAAAGTTCATCGATAAGAATATCCGGCTCGCTCCGGAGATGGAAAACACCATTTGTTTCCCCAAGAAAGAACTATTCCTAAGGATCCCATTTAAGGAGTGACACACAGAAAGCCTAGTAGTCACAGAGAACGGCTGTAAATTCCACTGGTTGTTTTCCATTACTCTGTTTCTCAAGCCTTCAAATACAGAATTTGTTGATCCTAAGTTTTCCTCTCGAACGCTGTTAGTCATAGGTTCCAAACACTATACCCCTTTCCGGTTAATAGGATTTATTATGTTGTGGTTCTTGTCTCTTTGGCGTTTTTTTAAGTTTTACCTTAGTATTGTCTTTAGAGAATTTCTGAATATGATGTCTCTAACGAGGCTCACACACAGTCACTCGTTTCAGCTCTTGTTTCTAAACTCTTCTCTCGTCTCCTAAACAGTATTGACCCGAACGCACGCGAATCATTCCATCTGACCTACTCCTTACGTGTTCCAATAATCCTATAATTTTTACGGTTAACTAATTTGACCCACAAGCTTTATTCGAATTCATAGATTCCCTCTTTTAATCTGTTGATAGAGATAACCAATCCCTAGAACCGGTATTCTGTGTCCAATCGAATGACTTTTCTTCTCTTCTTAGTTATTCACTGGACTTTCACCATCGTGCGGATGTTCAAGCTTTACGTGACCTTCTTACTGCTCTGAACAAAAGCACGTTGGATTTGGTGACTCAAAAGTCTGTGAACACACGATCGGATCAATCTGCCAATGGAACAGTCAGCTTGAATGAACCTGCACAGACTGTCCCGCTTGTGTCCGCCGTTCTACATTGGCCAGGGCAGCCACGTCTAACTTGTAACGTGTCAGTAACACCTGGTTTGTTGCTTTATTGCAGTCTGCTCCCTTTCGTCCGCATACCGTTCTCGGCTACCTCCACTGGGTCACGAACCGGATGGATTCAAGAGTTCCAGGCCGGTCCTCTGGAGTCTAGTCAACCAGATGATCCATTCGACGAGTTGTACATCACAATGACTGCCCGAGAACGTCGAAAGCGACAACCGGGGGCCGGGGCGGCCAAAGCAGAAGCGTCCGCGGTCAATTCGGAAACGGGACCTGTTCCACCAGATACCGAACGTCCGGAGGTCGATGCTTCAGAAGTGAGTCAAAACTCTATCATCACGTTGTCGCAGAGATGAGCTTATGCAGTTACAGATTTCATGTATAGGGTAAAGTTTTAATGTCCCGAACAATTGATAGTATAAACAGACCAACCCCCTTCCCAATAAAATTAAACTTCTGCGGTAACCCCATAGATGATCTATTCTCTTTGGTATGGGACAACACAGTAAAATATAACCTGCAATCTAAGCCCTATGGTTCGCGATTAGTAGACCATATAATACCCCAGTGGGATAGACGTGTGGTTGAGCTGGACGATAGCTAGTCTAACTACGTTACTTTTCTTTCTTTCGCAGAAGGTTGGCTACAGTTTCCTCATGCTTTTTTATTGACGTGGTATACACCGTTCAACCACTATCACACCTATTTTCGTTTCCTAATCCAAATGCTGGATGACCGTAGCTAAAATCATGGCACGAACGTGCGAACTGTGTACGTACTCAATTTTGAAACAGTGCGCTTTTCTTTTTTATATCCGCTCCCCCCCTCCTTGAATGACAGACTACCCCCAGTGTGGATCCATCTCTTACATCCAAACGGGAACCGAAAAAGTCATTTGAATCCCTTGTGGACGCCATCTGGTGGAGCATACATCAGTGCACTTCCACCGTTCCAACTACTCAGACTGCAGTAGCGTCCAACACGGCGCATATCACGGGAACCGAAACAGTTACCAATGGTGCCTCCCAACCCGTACAGACAATCATCTCCAATTCCGCAGCAGATGAATTACGACGTCGCCTGTTTGGCTGCATCCTTCTAGTCGGTGCAGGTGCGTGTGGTCTAACCGGACACTGTTTGCAGAAGTGGCTACATGCAGAGCTGGTAACACGCGCCAGTCCAATCGGTTTGACTTCCACGCAGGTGGAGGTTATGGGGCAACTGGATCAGCCCGATTCGGCGTGGATTGGCGCGCGTCTATTGTTGACTACTGACCTGTTGTCAGATTTGTGGATTACCGGATCGGAGTGGAAACGGTTTGGCACTCGAGCGTTACGTGAAAAAGCACCTTTCTTGTGGTGAACACAGGCCACCATTTTGTCTGCCACGCAGTTCTACCAATCGTTTATTTTTGTACATAAGCGCATTTGCATATATATATCCACATATTTGTAAATTAGATTCCATCCATCCCTGCACTGTAAACAGATTTCCTGTCCAATAAAGTATGATGTTTTCGTGGTTTTTTCTGTTTTCTGTTTTTTCTCCCGCCAACCCAGTATACTTTTGCCTACTGTTTTCACATGGTAGAATCAGAATGAGAAAGTCAATTACCGTATCAAATCTGGGTTTGTTATGCGGAGTATTGTATTTCCTGCAATGTTCTGATGAAAACTAATCTCTTGGTGCCAAACATTTACTGTTGGGTGATGCGTAAAAAATCCCTAAAGGCTAATTTCATCGTATCAAAACTTTTTATCAACGTACAATTTTTTGGATGACAATGGTAAAACACTAAAAACAAACGTCAAGCTGCGGAATAATCTGTTAGAAAAACCCATCGAAAAGCGGTGAACCTGAGTCAACACAACCGCACGATCAACCGTCTCGTGACTGGTTAAAACAACCAATAACTTGTTGTGACCTGTGCACACTTGAACATTAAGCACTACTAGCCAATTAAATTTTACGGATTCATGGTCAGGAGCAATTAGGAAGCTCGCGATGATGAGGCTGTTGTGCAAGTGCTTTCTTATATGTTGATGGATCTATGAATTTCAAGAGAGAATGTAGGATTACACTGAGTTGTTAAACGTTTTGATCCAAAGTAAGACTGGTTGTAAAACGTAAATGGAATGAATGAGATAATGGGGTTACTGTCTTCCCGAGCGCTTGTGTGCTGCTTGTACGTTTATGAGTCCACCAACCGTCACGGGTTTTACGAGTGCAATGTCAAGTTTGCCTATCTCGACGTGTCAATTGAACGAATTGACCGAGTGTGGAGCTTCGAGAATTAGACATTCCCCCTGCTTCATATCCCACGCCACCATCTTTGCGTTACCGATCGCGATCTCGTGACCCCTCCGTGCGCAGTGGTTCCTGATTTGCGACCTCTGGTCAGCGCGTCGAAGGGCAACCTTTTTTCGTGTAGGCGAGTGCGTAGTTGTTTGACTGTCTCGCTTATGCAGTGTTGATTACGTAGATTACACCTGTTCAACTGGATTCTTTCCGTCTAAGAGAAACGATTTCACAGTTGCTACTGGTTTATGGGCTTTGTTGATTCCCAACGGTCGGAGTATACGTTCGATGCCTTCTAACCTATCGAGTATATAGGATAACGTTATCCAAATACCCTCTTTTGCGTGCGTTGTTTGTTTTTGTACCCCTAATGCCCGCGTTTGATTAAGCTCCTGGGATATGCGTTAGATAAGAGCAGTTAAAAGGGTTGAATTCTTTGTCTTGTCTTTAGCTCCGGTGTGTTGTAATGTGTTCGCTCGGCGGAATAGAGTTTGCAAACAATTTTTCTGATGGCTCAAGGGATGGTTGTAATGGCGGATGCAATCTGTCGTCCGTTTTCGGTATATATATATATATACCTCTATCAAGTATTCCTCCGCAAAGGCTAC